TTGCTGACCCATAATATCAGTCATTGCTCCACTGCTTTGGATGACTTTGGTTTGGCTTTTTTTTGGCGACAAATGATTTATTTTATAGAGCAAACTTTGGGGTTTAGTGAAATGTTGCTGCTGGTAAGAAATATGGAATCCCAAATGGGTTTTATTGGAACTTCTACTGTGAATAAACTTCTCAGATAGATAAATAGAAAAATACACAGTAACCCCCCCCCAAAAAAAATAATCTTATTGAGAGGCTAGATGAATAATATAAAGGTGATAATTACAATGTAAATCATGATAACTTGACGGTTGTTATGTGATTGCTGCTGCTGAAAGTGATTGTTGACACGAAAACCAGTTTTGACAAAGTTGTTTTCCAAACCCAGATGAATTTATTGAATTTAATCAGATATAAAGGTCAAATACAGGAAGAGATCATACAAGTCAAATAGCTGAGGTGTGACTGCAGAGACCCAAAATGGCTGATTCATCTCTAAGTTTACACATTTCAATATTCATATTTGAACAGGTGTATTGGTAAAGTAACTGAATATACTATAGCTATAAGTACAATATTATATAATAATGAAATTACTTTAATTATTACAAGAAGAAATAACCGGTTTATCCTCCATATGCAGGAAGGTTATCAGAAGTAGTCCAGTGAGAGAAGATGAATGAATAAATATATTAAACAGTCGAATATGTTTCCAACCTTGTGGGATTGTTCTTTACCCAAAAGGCAAAGTTGAATGAATATGAAATATTATGCACGTGGTGAGTTAACTGTGACAGTGTCGGCTGTTCTCAGAGGAAACATTTTTACTGTTTAGGGTTTCCTGTCTTGTATATAATCTAGAAGTTTCATTGGGAGACTGGAAGAAGAGCAATATCCTGGATTAAAGAAAAGGATTATGATGCTGTGTCTCCATCAGTCCTGTGAACCTGCAGGTTTCTCTAGTCTCCGAACTACAACCCTGGTTCTCCGTCCTTGGGGTCGACCTCGTGCATCAGTTGCAGCCGCCTCCGTCCCTCCTGGCAGCGACCCCGGGGGTCGGGGTTCACCTCGGGGCCGTGCAGGCTTCCTTCCTGACCGCACGTCGTCCACGAAGGCCTCCACTCCCTCAAACTTGGCTGTCAGCTCAGAGAGACGCTCTTTCAGGGCGTTGAACTCCTTGTAGAGATCTCCCAGGGCGTCTGACAGCGGCGGGATCCTGAGGGATTTACAATGATGATGGGAAATATTAAACAAGAAAAGAGTCTTAGTTAAGCCAAAGAATGAAATGACATGATAATGGGTCCTCACCTTCCGTAGTCCGGCAGCACAGTGTTGTGGTCATGCAGCAGCAGATCTTTGACCTGCGTCACGATGGCGTATTTCCAGTTGTCTAAAACCAACGTGAGGTTGGCACATACTCTGGTGTTCACTCTCTCTGCTACAGGTGAGTAAACACAAAGCAGGTAAAGTGTAAGTTCTTTATCTAAACCAAAGTCAATGAGAAAACTTTTATATTTTGCTTCTTTATTACAAAATCCGTGAATAAAAGTCAAATGATCTTTACTTTAGCAACCAATTTGACTTCAAAATCAGCAGTAACAGCAGGATGGAAAATGACAGAACCACTAAAAGTTCTGCGTTCAGTTTATGACTTAAAAGTATTAACCATGAAATACTCAAGAATTCGAAGTGGAAATGTTTCTTCTGCCATTTTTGATCAGAATAGAGAAGGAATAGAAAAGAGGAAATAACTGCAAAATGGAAACAAGGAAGAATAAAAGGAAAACAACAACTAAAAGGCATCTGAGTTAAAACTGGGCGGAATTTAGTTGGAAATGGATTTATTATTATTATCTATCTATAAGTACAGCACAACTCCTTCATTGCAAAGTGCTTCATATGAAAGCCAATAATCACAAACTACTACATTTAAAAAGAGAAGCTAAAGCAATTAATCACTTTTGGATATGACTATATTTTAAAGTGTAGTTTGGGCCCGTCTCACTTTGAAATAGTCATTGAAATACTTTTAAAACAATCATGAGTTAATAGCCAGAACTGGAAATCATCGAAAGTACTTACTGAGACTGAGAAATGAAACACTTCCCACTGAAATGTTGTGGAGCAAAATCGGAGAATCTCCAAACCTTGTTCCCAAAACCTCAAATTTACTTGAGTAGAGATATAAAGAGAGCGATGACTATATTTACTTTAACGCTAACCTTCACTCCTGTAATGCCACTCTGGTCTCTGGGTTATTTTCTGTTTCTGAGCAGCACACACAGAGTCACCGATAAGATGACCAGAACTCCAGCAGTCTTCATCCTTAAATCTGCATCTGGAAACAAAACACACATGTACATGTCTGAATATCCTTTACTGTAAAGCGCATTCGACATCTGCAAGTAAACTGCTGTCTGAAACTTTAAAAAATGTAAGAAAACAAACCTGCCGTGAGAGTCAAATAATCCTGTGAGGACTAAGCGGACGCTTTCTTTTGAAGTTTAGTCTCTGCAAAGGAGGGACGGTCTTCAGCCTCCACTCCCTCCTGAGGCTCACAGCATCATTCATCAGGATTTCACTTCAAAGTCTTTTCTCTCAGTCGCTGTTTTCTAGCAAGAAGTCCATTGTTAACTTTCAAGAGCATCAAAACAACATGAAAACAATTCTTGTCAATAATAATAACAAACATTTAACGAGGTATGAAAATGTATATAAGGTGTACACACTACAATGTGCTCTCTCCGTCCGCCGGGTCCTTCCACAGAGGTGTTTGATGTTTTACGGTCACGTCCACTTACACATTCCTCATCTGTTGTCCATCTGCAGTCCTGAGGAGACACTTAAACTGGACTCTGCCTGCTCTGATCGCTTGTTAAAGATTGATTATGGTGGATTTATTTTTACAGTGAGGCAGTGAATAAATCAGCATGTAGGGGACTTTTGTAACATCTCAAATTGCACCAATCAGAAACGAGACAGAACCATGAAACTCATCATGCACGCTCTCTGTGGCCATCACTCTCTGCCTGCCGAAGGACAAGCCGATGAGACATACAAACATTTTTCTGAGCTATGAAAGTAATTATTTTCATCTATCATCAGTATTTTTCTCACACCATCTTAACCATTAATTTCTATGAATTTAATGGTCTTTTTTTGATAACCATTTTGTTGTCTAACATTTGACATCATTGTCAAATATTAGCTGCAATTGTAACACCGTGTTAAATAGTATCCAGCTTAGAAAGATCTATATATATATATAATTTCTGATAATATTCAGAAAAGTCTTTGTGGTCAGTTTAAATATCTAAAGTATATTCTATATAATATGTGTTTTGCAGCATAGTCCAAAAGTTAAATCTTTTCATTCTGGTGACGGGGGTTCAATTCCCACCAAGAACCAATTGCTTTCAGTATCTTCAGTGAAATACTGTAATAACAATCTATAAACATATTTATCAAAAGACATTATTTTGATTTTTAGTTTGTAATAGTAGCATAGTACCGAAGCTCAATACAGAAAATAATAGATGATAGTATCTTTCTAATAGTGTCAGAAAAGCGTTTTCAGTTTAAACGTTTCTGTGTACGAATGACCTTTTGCTTACTACTTTGTTATTATTAGTCCAGAGCTCAGTGAGGCCTGTACTATGTTTGTCATGTGACCTTATACCACTGTGTTAATTGTGTGTGTTGTTACAATCGGCCCTACACCTGGGGGCAGATGTACCATTTCCCATCTAGTGTTTGAATCAATTTGATGACTGTTAACAAGTAAAACACAAATACAAGTTCCCTCTATAAAAATTGCCCCCAGTCTCCGCTACTCTGGTGACTGTAAAGGCAATTTAACCAGATGGAAATGTGCACAGAGGGTATTGTGATTCTGTGAGGTGAATGTGATGATGAAAACCAGGTTGAAACAAATGTTCACTTTTCTAAACACAACATATGGCCAAAAGTATGTGGACACCAGAATGTTACATAGGCGTTAATCAGCTGTAACAGACTCCACTCTTCTGGTTTTCCACGATAGGCAGGAACCTGAGCATTAATGTCCAGCTCACAGTTGGCTAAAATTGGAAAACCATTTTTTTGTGCACACATGTATTGTCATTACAGCTACAACAATATATCGGCTGATCTTAGCTGATTACAGATATACAGTATTTGAATCAGTCTATTTGTCGGCCAATTAAGTCACAAGAATTGCAGCGAGATGATGCCACACGAGGTTTGAGCTATTTTAAAAACAGCATTTCCATTTCAGTTTGACCACCAGAGAGCACAGTAGCTATAAAATGTCTCGCTTAGTGTGTTGGTCACAATTTGCATCACAATTTTCATTTTCACTGAACGAACGTATTAAAGTCATGATGATGTGACATTTGTTGGGGGTCTGTACCAAACACGTTTTCCTACATCTGGAGTTTACACTGAGGCCTCTCTGCAGCACCACAGCACTTCATCATAATGCTTTTGCTTCACATTTTAACTTCTTTAAAAAAAAAAGCTCCTGAGATTTGGATATTGCACTTGGCCATATTACGATTTGGATAATATTTCTATTGACAGTTCTATATAAAACAAATCTAAGCATCCATTTCATGGTCAAGATTTTTTTATACTTACATATATTCAGTATCAGTCGAGCTGTAATTGTCTCGTTGAAACAGAAAAGGGCATTCCCCAAACTGTTGACCCACAGCTGGAAGATCAGTATTGTCTAAAATGCAGCATTAAGATTTCCCTTCACTGGAACGAACCATGAAAAACAGCTCTAAAACAAAAAAGTAAGGGTGTCCAAATACTTTTGGTCATGTTGTCTAGAAGTGGTTCCCACTAAAAATAAAGCTTCATCTAATCTTTTATTTTTATCCTTTTGCATTATAAATACACAACAAATGAGAACTCAAAGTTATTTGAAAACACTTTGAAACACTGTGCTTCTATTCACAGTTCGATGATTTGATTTACCCAGACAGCTAACAAATCAAAGACATTATTATCTGTTGTTTTTTTTATTTTATTTTGTTTCAAATCCAGGTCAACAGCATTCAACTTTCAGGGTCCTCAGTTAGCTCAGTGGAAAGTGAGAACCTGCTGTAACTCCAAGAGCATGCTTGCTCAGCAAACGGCCCCTGGATCAATACAAAAGGAAAAGGTCACTGCCGTCCCTTAGCTTCATGACATCAGATAAATTGCTCTTCACACATTGGGAAGGGGGCGGGACAAAAAAACAAATCCTCCAAGCTTTGTAAAATTAATCTACAACTAAAAATAACTTCATCAGTGGAATTACTGTCAAGCTCTTACGAAGAAACACACGTCTCATAGATAGCAAATCTGCAGCCCTCTTAATCGAAGAGGCCCACTTCCCCGTCAACGACCCCAACGAAGATCAAAAGGATTTAGAGATTCGCTCGGTTTTCCTGCCGGTTGGACCATCCTTTCACCCGAAAAAACAAACAAAAACAAAAAACACCATTTCTTGAAACAGTGCACGGAGTTATGAGGGAAAAAAAGACAAATGCAGAAGCCAAAACATGAACAGGTGATAAAAAGTTTGAGGATGTTTTCAGGGACGCGGAGTCAAAGAGATCTTGCTGGTCAAAAACTAGTTAATCAGGATTATTATTATAAATGTGCAGTTTGTAGCTTTTCGTTTTAGCATCACTGTCATTAACTTTTGTAATATTTATTTACTTTTTAATCAGTCGTAGTTAATCCTCCAATTCTACATGAGCACTAGAAAAACTGCGAAAGCATTCAAGTCACAAAAGATCATTTTGGTCAAATACATCAACCACGCCACATCTGCCAGCTTCAAAAATGTACGTATGTATTTTACATCTGGACTGAAAGGCGATTCGTTTCCGGCACCACACGAGCTTAACAAGATCCCTACACAACTGTGTGCGAACAATATCAACGTGTTTTGATTTTGCTGAATAGGTGCATGTTACAAATGCTAAGAGCGTTTGGGTGGAGCGGCTCAAAGTAACATTCTGCTGCCAGATGTTTAACCAGAAGTGAACTTTCATGACTTAAATGATCTCATGAGGTTTGGTCCCAATATCAGCCTCACGAAAGAAAATCCAAAACATTAAAGTAATAAAAAGAGCCATCGTAAAAGCCGTGTTAAAGGGTTAGTTCACTGACTTTAAATTAAAACATTTATCTACATATGGATTAGTGTTTGTTTGTTTTGATGTTTGTGAAGATGTTTCTTTCTGAGATTTCTGCCTCCTCTTTCAGACAACTTTCTGCCTATGAAAATTGTTGACAGTATTTAAGGGTCACATTTTGTTGCTCTTAGCACCACGTTGTAGCGGGGTGTAGGCAGAATCTCTCTCACACACACACACACACACACACACGTATAACCTATTCGTTTGGCTAAATACAACTAGGGGTTAAGCGAGAAATGTTCACCGAGGGGAGTTAAGTGCTTTTCACGTTGTTTTCAGGCTCGGGCCCCTTCTTACGCCACTGACGCTGCAGCTCTACAAAAGCGGAGAAAACATCAATCTGGACTTGCGTGCTTCAACATCATCCAGACGGCGCTCACTTCAAGGTTTTCGACATCCAGCACAAACATCAGCTGAGACAAGCGAAATGTCAGGCATCTTTTTCCTCCCCCGTGGTGACCCGCGACCCCGTGCACTCTGAGCAGCAAAGTCTTTGAAGGCTGAGTGATTTCGGAAACGGCACCAGCAAGAAAACAAAAGGCAGAAGAACCACAAGTAGGGAGTGACAGAGAGGGAAGTGGCGAGCACCAGTTGTTTCTAGAAGCACCTCGCGGCTAATAAGAGTGTGATTCAGTAACAAATATGATGATGATGATGATGATGATGATGTCTGGGGGCGTTTTTATCAGAAACAGAGCATACAGCTGATAAAGTAAGCTACATATTATGCCTGTTCAAGTTCAATCCTCCAAATCCAAAAGCTACAACTCCAACAAACCAGCGAAAAAGATCTTTAGGAACCACGATAAGCTGGTGGGACGTCAAGTTAATAATCACCAACAGCAGCACACTTCTGTAGTCAGTGGAGAAGGTGTCAGGGGTGAAGAGCTTTTTGCGTGTGCCTTTTCAAATATGGGATTTATTTCTAAAGTAATTTAATACTGAAAATATAAACTCTACTAAAGGTGGAATTACACTTTTCAGGTCTGAGCTTTGACCAATGATTGTACTTTAAAGGAGCTTGGCAAAGAGACCAAGACCTATAAAAACCTGACTGAGTCCGTGCTGAAGATTCAAAACGTTAAGGTATCGCTACAATCAGATAAAAAAAGGAAAAAAAGAAGCTTAATTAAATAACAGTATCATTCCTCAAACGTATTTATACACAGCAAGATTTTCAAGAAGACATTGTGAGAGTGAGCGGGGCACTGATGTGAGAGAACATCCAAACACTCGAGTCTTTGCTGTCGTCCTGAGTCACAGCAGGATTTATTTGAGGAGGGGGGTTATTCAGGGGGGGACGTGGGTTGGGGGAAAGGGGCCTCAGTCAAAAGTGCTTTAAACGAACCCTGCCAGAGTCGCTGTGGGGGGGGGGGGTGTACGAAAATCATAACACACAGTCTGGTTTTATTTTATTGAACGCATTGAATTCGATGTAAACGAGTGCGTCCCTTTCAAGCGTCACAGCAGCCCGTGAGATGGGAAGGACAGAGGCTTCAGAGTGAGGCGGAAAGAAAACACAAAGGGGGTCCAAATCTCGCAGCTGGTCCTGGAGCAGTGATGTCATTGGCGAGTTAAGAGGAGGGCTGGGTGGGTAATAAGATCAGGGCAGGGCAGTGTGGAGGGAGGGGTTTTTTAACTGCGGGGCAGGCTGCACATTTCACAGTGCTCTGTGCCAGGCTGGTTCATGAAGGTGCAGTGGAGGCAGGACCACATGGCTGAGGACGAGGCGGGGACTGAGGGGCCGCCCATGGCCCCGTAACCCACAGAGCTGGAGGGCTGCCCGCCCACTGTACCTGGAAGGACGGGAGAAGGATTACAGGATATCAGGACAGCTATCATTTATCAACAAAATGTTTTTTTTTTTGTAATCTAATCAAATGTGTTGGTTTGACAATAAAGTTGTTTATTATACTAGTGTTGTATACAAGAGACATTCAAAAGCAGCGACACAGGCGTTTCACATTGATAGGCTGTCAAAACAGTCAACAAATCAACTAATTATTTCAACCCTAGAGTACAAACTAAAGTAAGATCAGGCCAGGTAATCAGAGTGTGTGACTTACTGCACAGCTGCTCGATGGTGGCCCACTGCTCTGACTTCTTCCAGGTCTGTGCCAGATCCTCATCAGAGGTCCTCACTGCGTCTAGCAGCAGCCCGATGCTGTCCTGCAAACACAAACACCAACTCTGTTCTCTGCACTGGACAACAACAGATTCAGGAAACTGAAAAACAACCCACCAGATCAACGTTTTGTAAATCTTGATTTACTGCAACAGTTCATTATTATCTAAATACTTTTAAAATCCACTTTTTTTTTTAAAACAAAAGATGCTTTTGATCGTCATAAAAGGGCCACAGGCCAGTTTTGAAAGCATCCACACACCAGTAACCACTTCCAGACTGGAAAAGAATGCAGAACATATTTTCTGCAATACTAATGGAAAACTCTAAAAGTAGAGGTTCTGAAGAGTTGGCTTACTCTCAGGGGCATGACGTCATTGGTAACGAGGAAGAGGAGCAGATGGAAGTCTGACACGATGTCCAGGAATGCTGTGGAGGTGCACTGGGACAGGTATGTCGCTAAACTGTGGAAATTCTGCAGAAACACAAATAACAAAACACAAGATGTATAAACTTCTTCTGACCTCTGGAGGTTATGGAATCCAAAGGTTATCTTTATTCACTCACTGAGCTGTGCCTGGTCATGTCAAGTTAAAATACAGGCAGAGATAAAAGCTTAAGTGGACTCAAGTAGGTCTGACTGGCACTACGATTATCTGGGTTATCATGTATCTGCTGGAACTCTCTCTGCAACATGCATGCTCAATAATTTGGGTTGATTTTATTTTTTACTGCTTTCCATTTCTACACATCTGATCTAAACAAAAACAAAAACTAAAAAAGAAAGAACAACTTTGGATGTGGTGGAAGGTTTAAAGAATATTTCCCAAATTTAAGACAGTTTCTTTAAAACACAATATTCCTCAAAACTATATTTAACATAACAATGCAGGAAATCATTTTGCCAGCGACGTTCAGACATCGTTTTATCTCTTCACGGGTTGAATCAGAGGCGAGAAGGTTCAGATAAAACAGAAACAAGTTACTTGTGTCTCCCCCAGGATATCACGGTTCTCGATAGGGAAGCGTTGTGTGGAGCAGAAGGTGTACTGGGGGTCCTTTGGAAAAGTTGTAGTTATCTGTAGAAGACAAAAAAAATCCGGTAAATGATCTAGCAAGGCAGTGGCAGCACATTTACTTTTTTTAATGGAGAACTGATCCTGATTTAATGGAGAAAAAGATCTGTAAAACAAAACACACACCTGCTGACTACAGACAAAAGCCATGTCTTACTCACATCTATGATAAGGTACTCCACGGGGAGAGGCCGGGCTAGAAATGTGACATCATTTCCAAATTTGTCTTTGTCCTTTTGGATGGAAGGAGGAAAAAAATAGCAGGGTCAGAATCAAACAAAAATGTTAACATCTGGATGAACCGACTCTTAATACACGGACCCAATAGCAAAATAAGTCACTGTGTATTCTTAAAAACAAACCACACACCATTATATAGTATGGATATTTCGTTGTAACGTAGGTCGTTGCTTCATGTGTGGAGTCTTACCTTGTAGAAGACGTCCGGTACGTACTGCTCAGGGGTGGATTCTTTAGCGAAGCCGAGCTCGGGAGCGTCTTTGCAAGGCAGTAGGCACTCGTCTCTCACCAAAGCCATGCACTGATTGGACACCTGATATCCTTCAAAGTGCACCTGGTTATCTGGACCACCTGCACACAGAGTACAGGGACAGAGAAATGTATTATAGTATTGGCTGAAGCAGAATCTTAAGCCTGGAGTGGAAAAGGGGCTGATGACCTACATTTTTAGGGGTGGTGATGGAGCAGTGGATAAGACACATGCCTTTTGTGTGTGAGACCTGGGTTCCATTACCCACTTGTGTCCTTGAGCAAGACACTTAACCCCAGAGGCGTGTGACCTCTGACGTATATAGCAATTGTAAGTCACTTAGGATAAAAGCGTCAGCCGGATGAAATAACGTAAATATTGTAAAATCGATAACACTGACATTTGTCAACTTTTTATATCACTCATGAAACAAGTGGTTGTTGAAATGTGTCACTTCACTTGTCTATAAAGATATTTAAATTTCAAATGCCCATGACAAACTAATGATACCATCAAATGTAGTAGTAGGAGTAGTAGTAATGTCATAAATGTAAAATACTCAAAGACGTTGTGCACACTACTTTAACATTATGAAGCCGTTATGTCAGTGTCAGCCGGGTTTGCTCAGAGCCTGTTTAAAGGCTCTTTACACATGAAAGTCATTTACGAAACAGACCTCGTCTTTTCACAAGGGAAAGTAGAACAGATGGACTTTGAGATTCCTGGCGTTGGATGTGTAGCCATGACATCAGCTTTGCCTGCCAGTGCCTCATTAATGCAAAGACAGGGTCGCTGCTACATTTTGTGCTTTTCTGGAACACATTTACAACAAGAGGTCTTAAAAAGTTGTAATGGAGGGAAGTGTAAACACTTGGCCTTTATCCCATCGACCAAACAAAGTCTCAGAGAAAGCGCCTGGCTTGTATTACACAACTACTCAAACTGGCACCTCACAAGCCGGAGCTTCACTTTCACAGTGTTAGCTGCAGCTAAAGCTGCGTGTCGACCAAAGGAACGATACGGCACTAGGAACCTTGAGAGGAACACACTGCGTTTCCACCGCAGGGATCAGGGTCTAAATTTAGTTCTAAGGTCTTTATTTTACCCCCCCCCCCAAAATAAGTGGGTGAGTGGAGGCTACTGGCTTTAAATCGAGCATGTTGGCTGTTTTTCTAGACTGCTCCTCTCTTTTTCACTGATGTTTGCAAACCAATAAATCACAATCAGATAGCCACACAAGTCCCGCCGACGTCCGCCTGAGATCGTACGTCGTGCATTAAATGTACTGCTCGGAAACAGCAGCCAGCGTGCAGCGGCGTGTTTACAGTGAGTTACGCTAAATATCGGAACTGGAGTTCTATGTTGAACCTCTCCTGCTTCAGATGTCAAAAAATTACATTTTACAAACAAATTAAGGGCTTGAGGGCAGAAAACAAGACTTAAAAAAGGAGAAGAGTAAATACTTTAGCTAATATTAACACGCATTTTTTCATACTATCATATGAAATAAGCTAGATTATTTTCAGCGCTCACTTCAGAGAGCACCAAAACGTACCTGTTGCCACCACCGTCACAAATTTGGAACCAAACTGTCCGTCTCGAGAGAGTCTGCAGGGGTTTGGATGATGATTCTGGAAGTATCCCGCTGTGATGCACTCCTCTGCGCTCAGGTAGTGCGAGTCCTAACAGAAGGAAGGACAATGATGAAACACGGTGGAAAGCGGCTTATTAGTCTTTGAGCGAACTGCCTCCTCACATTGTTTCTCGTGTAGCGGACAGTGCCTATCCTCGTATCCTCAGAGAGCAGGTCAGTGAAGATCCAGCCCACCTGAAAACCACAGGAGAGAAAACCGATCAAACAATTAGTTGATTAATCTACAACAATTTTGATTATCAAATCTACAGATTAAACCATTTGTTTAAAAGCAAAATATGTTTTCAGCTTCTCAAATATGAATATTTGCTAGTAGTGAACTGAATATCAAGGATTTTAGACTGTTCGTCAGATAAAACAAGACATTGGAACATGTCATCTTGGGCTTTGGGAAATTTTAATGGACATATATACTATTATAATCCAAATCATTAATCATGACAATAATCGGCAGATATGAAAAGAATTGTTGTTACGTACAGCTAGGTTTGTTATCATAACTGCATTTTATGCCTTACATAATATTAATCTAACAGAATAACAAGTACACCGTTTCAAAGAGCAACTGAATATCTGATACATTGAATTTGAATTTAAATGTAAAAAAAAAAACCAAAAAGCATTCAAATATCCTAAATAAATAAAAACAAATAAAATAAAACCACACAAACAAAACCATAAATAAAACTGACTCTCAGGCACAGGGGCAAAGAGAGTCATTCAAGATGAGCCAAGTAACATAAAGTCAGGCAACACATAAATTCAGTTTAGGACTCCTCCTTTAAGAGACTCTATTAAACTGGACGGGTTGATTATGTTTCAGATGACCTTTTAATGTTCGCTGTATTGCCAATTTTCGTTGCCACTGTATTTAAACAATTGTCTCTCCTCTCTCGTTCCGCTTAAAGCCAAAATGTTCCCACACCCGAGGTGTGGAATGCGGCCTGGAAAGTCCATTTGCACTTAGCCTAATCTTACAAACTTTCTGGCTGGAGTTACACAGTGTTCAGGAAAAACACCAATTAAAACACCTAATAGACTCGAGTAACACGTTATCTTCACCTGTCGCTGTCCGCTCTGTGTGTGGAGGAGCTTCCTGGGCCCCGCCTCCGACACAGAGAGCAGCTGGCTGAAATGTTGCGACGATCATGGTTATGTAAACAAACACGCATGAAAACACAATGGGCTATATCGTCATATTATTGTTTAACAATGTGAAGCAGTTTGCTTTACTAAAAAAAGCTTTTATTAATAAATCACTTCCTGCGGCGAGACAATGCTAAAACCTTAAAAAAAAAAAAATAAATGCCTTGAACCTTAAAATTTTCCACGCTGCTGGAGTGCAAACTAAGTATTTAGTGTGAAAATAAAAGGTAAGAAAACACAGTGTTAAACAGAGAATGCATGACAAGAAGATCAACCTTGCAGAGGCCCAGTTTGGCAGCGATTTCATCTACAGCTGCAGCTTTAGGATCTTCCACCAATTCCAGACTGTTCTGAGAGGCATTCTGAAACACAAGTGTTACGATCAAATTAAAACTAATAGTTACAACAAGGTTAAACAATTACAATACATTAAAAACCAAGGAAACTAATCACTCAAATTGAGTGGAGTTGCAGCAGACAGCGATGTATTTAAAAGGAACCCCTCACCTGTGGTGGCTCGTAGATGGCAGCCACCTCAGCTCTGATGCCCAGAGGGATGTCTGTGTGCTCAGTGTATTTGCCATACAAGTACCCCATCCTCTGACTGCCCGTCTTCCTCCAGAAGTCCAGGAAGCGGTCAGCAATGGTGTGGTTCTCAAACATGATGTTGTCCACGTGTCTGTATTTCTGGGAGAAGAACAGAGAAGGCTAAATTCATGCAACTCGCTCATCAGTTCTGAGCTGAGGTTTGTTTTCTCAGTCACGAGGCAGCTCATGAGGTAGAATCCACACTGCTACGGCAGACAATTGTGTCCTCTTAAATTTAATCTTCTATGCATGTTCTTTTACTATTATTGTTATTGACTTATAGATATATTTATGTATTGTGTTTTTATCCTTAACGTTTCCTTCTTCTATGCTCCTTATATTAGTCCGTCCACATTTACTGGGACATTTGGGTCAGAGCTGCGAGATTGTTTTGGTGTTTTCCTCTCTTGTTGTTCCTCTCCTCTCCTTGAATGTTCATTCAAGGTCGAGAGAGGATCTCTGTTCCCAAAAACATAGAAACCTAGACTGTGTAAATGATTACGCATCCCTTTGCCCCGCAGATTAACGTTGTAGTACTTCTGTTTATTCTCTTTTTGTTAAAAAAAAATTCTTCAAAGACAACAGTTGGTTATTACTCAATTATTTGCTCAATCCCTCACCAGCAATATACAATTTCCACACATCACATCACGTGGTTGGCGGTTTGGTCCCCAGCTCCTCCTTTCCACATGTCAAAGTGTCTTTAGAGAAGACACTGAACCGCAAATTGCACAAATTGATAGCTGCCCAGCACCTTGCATTGTAGCTCGCTGCCATCGCTGTGTACATGTAGGGACTGGCCCGAATGTCATTTTTGAGCTTTGAAGCGTTATATAATAATTAACAGGGATTAATTGCCGCAGCAGGGGGGTAGGGTGGGGGGGGTACAGCGGTTATGCAGATTGTCTAAAATTGTCAGTTGATAAGCTGGCTGTCATGAGCTACAGCTACGATAGATATTAGCAGAACTGCTAGGGAAGGATAAATACCCAAGAGGTTCTGGCAATGACATGAGTGAGGGAGAATCTGCTGGGGGAGAGATGACAGCGGCTGATTAATGTCTGTGTGTGCGTGTGTGTGTGAGAGAGAGAAATAATTATAATACTCACAGCGTAGGCTAACTAAAACAGCAAGTTAATTGTTACCAACACTTTGTTTTTAACTGTTATGTCAGCGCTAGTAGACCCTCGTGCAGGACTAAGAGAATAAGGAGTTAGATAAAAGAGGAATATTTACTGCAGGGTTGAAGGGACGGGAGATAGAGCCGGCGAGGAGGGGAAGATTAGGTGCTCGCCCTGCAGAGCATGTTTGAACCGTACCTGCCTGAGAGTCCAGACTGAGAGGCTTATAATAGACGGACCGGCGTCCAACCAGAGCACACAGGATGAGCGCTATTTTCAGTAGAGGGACTAAAACAACACGTTAATCTGCGTGATCACTTTTAATTTAGTATATTAGACCAGTGTTTCCCATACGTTCATTTATTTGTGGCGGCTCGCCACAATATCAACGCTGACCGCCACATGTTGATTTTTATTTTTATTTTAACTAGGCCTATTTAAAATCGTATTTGATTGCAGAGCGCTGTAGCGTGTTAACACAGCACATCCTCTCGCTCGTCCCTCGTGAATACAGCTGCACAAATCAGTCCAACACAACGATGTCAATGTCGGAGACCAAGCTTAAAAAAAAAGTTATTAGCAAGCATGTAAGGAGCCTAGCTGACACTAAGTTATTGTTAGAATGCAGCTGGGCTTTTAGCCTACTGTTTAGGCTGCTGATTAAATGTAGGCTATTTCTCAAAATCTAAACTCGAATCTGTACCCAACAATCAGATATTCGGGTCCAGCCCTGTTTACATGCATCTCAAAAGAGATACGTGCTGCTGCAATATTATGCGCCATTCAAGCATGACAGGTTCCCTGTTTTGTCTCTCCCAAGAGTCTGAAAAGTCTGAAAACTATACTGTTTTTCAGGCACATTTCAATGGAAATTGTACAATCTGATGCTTTTAAATATATGTTGTTTTGTTATATACTTAATTATTTTCTACTCATTCCAATAACTTCTAGACAAAGTATCTTTTCTGAGGGTATCAAGGACAGTATAAGCAAAAATGAAAATCAGAAATATAAACAAATGATTAATTGTAACAGCAACACAGGTGATGATCTGATTGAAGACGGACTCTGTATTGAGTGGAAAAGACTAGAAAGGTTCTATACAAGTACGGAGCATTTTACATTTAACACTTCTTGCTATTGGCTGTTTGTAATTTTGGTCATCAACTCTACTGTTGCTCTCACTGAAAGCTTCACTGCCACAGACATATTGGTGCGGTCACATACCTGTCTGTTCAGAGTGATGGCACTGGGCTGGCACTTGGTGCAGATCCCCTCCGGCCAGGGAGGGTGGCCCTCACAACCCGACTTGATCTTACAGCTGATGTTCTCCAAAGCCGCAAACTTCCCTCTGCAGGAAATCAAAACCTGTGTTAGAAGTTGACTTTAATTTTTATGTTTTTCCGCTGAAGAAATTGAAATGAACTTCTCACTTATCGGCTCCACCGGTCAGCTTGCGAAGGTATGCGTGAAATGACATGTGCTTCACTGGTGGGTCGAGGTGATTCAGGTAGTCTTCGTCAAAAGGCTGACAACACCAAAGAAGCCAGGGTTTCAGTACGGAAAATCAGAATGAACTTGTCTTACATTAGTGGTGCAAGCATCACAGCTCGTCAAGTTTAAGAAACAAGAATGGATCGTCTTACCTCTAATGGTACACAGTGCACACATTTTCCAAGGGCACCATGGCGACATCTGTAACGAGAAGAGAATCAGTAGGTATATGACATTTGCATGTCATTTGCTTGCAGTGGCTGTTTTTCTTACAGCTGTGGATCTTTGTTCCTGTAGATCTTGCCGTCTTGCTTGGCCAGATACTGATCAATCTCATCCTCCTGGACCTGGGGGGCTGAGAAGGACCGGGGGATCATGGAGGACGAAGAAGAGGATGAAGAAGATGAGATGGATGGTAGTGATGACGATGAGTGTGGGGTGGCCGTGTCCATCACCTCCCCAGAAGAAGAAGAAGGGGATCCTGAGGGGAACAGATACAGCATGTCGCCATGCCTACGAAGGAGACGAGACAAAAGAAAAAACACGTTAAAAGCTACAAAAAAAAAAAAGGGAGATGCAAGTAGCATTTACTGAATTCTCAATTCTTTTCCAATAAATGCAGAATTCCGACTACACTTTGTGTATCCCAGAGTGGTCACATTTATTTCACCTGAAATTCAATAACTTATATTTAAGTATGATCAATGAGAACGTTGAATCACTGCATCTACGCTTGGGTGTCTAAATGGTAAATCTGAATATCATCTATTGTTTTTTCTTTTTTGATGAGCTACAACCTTTAACTCTGATACTGAATACTGTTTTACACACTGGTCACTTACGAGCCTTGAAAATCTTCAATGGAAAACCTTTTTCTTTTCATCACTGCTTAATCCTGCAGAAACATAACTTGCTAAGCTAGCAGCAAGTTTAAATTTGCCTACTTATATCTATATAAATCTCTCTCTCTCTATGGAAAAAAGCCTTCAGGCTTATTCTGGCATATTTACATTGCTGAAAAGTTAAGATGTCCATTGATATGCACTGTCTCTTTAAGGCTTTTATTCCTTGAAGCAGATGCATCCTTTTAGCAAACACTTGATGTCAATCAACAAAAAATAAAAATACATACTACAGGTGGGTCGCAGAGCTCAACTAAAATGAGGCATGAGTTGTAAACTTAGACATAACACTTACTTGATCTTAAGCAGGCTCAGGGTTTTGTTCTGTGAAACGATTTCTCCGGTCTTGTTGCGGTTCAGGTAAACGGAAAACCCATTGGAATTGAACCCAAACTCTTTGCCCACCTGAGAGAGAAACAGTGTGCTGATTAGACTGGACAACAACATAGTGTCTAAAATTTTAAACAACTTTAACTACTAAATTTCAGTCCCATGAAATACATTTGATGTTTAGAGGATCAAAATACATACAAGCTTAAATCAGTCTGAGCTAATCATTGACATAATGTCTCAGAAGATTTCCTCTTCCTTGGAATCCACTTTAGGAAACAATTCAGATCAACATGTGCACGTGTACTTTCAAAATGATGCCAATTGCCATATTACAGCAGATTAGCATAGAGCCTCTTGGCACGAGAGAAACTCAGGTCAGGTCATCACAAAAGGGAGCTGACTAAGCTATTAGGAGCAGTCTGAGGTGGCCAACCAACAGTATCCCCGAGCATTTATCATCACAGGCTATCTGCGTGATTTCATCACTTGAGGTACCTAATTCAACCATTAGTGAACATTTGAACTGTTAAATGGTCATTTCAGAATTTTTAAACAAATGCCCTATTTCTGACATCTTTCAACATTACTAGTAGGTGCAAAAAGCTGGCAGCTGTGAACATTACTCCAACACAACAAATTCCTTTCTCCAACGCTGTCAGACCAGAAACTGAAGTCTCACTCAAGGACAATTCGCCCTCTGAAATGTCATGAGAGGCCGGTTGTTGCAGGAAGATGCTGGTGGAAACGTGAGTAAGAGTTGGAGAGAGGAGTTTGTTGTGTTGAAGTAACGTTAAGAAATAAAGTCTTGCTAGCAGCTCCTCTACGTACACAACAAACTTGTCTCTCCAACTCTGACTCCTGAGATTTCAAAGTAAGAGTTGTCCTTGAGTGAGACAAAGGAACGTGTTGCAGCCGGTTTTCAGCCGCCGGCCGACGCCATCTACTGCACGGACTCCAAAATGTTTTGTACCTAAACCAACAGGCATTATTTATCTTTAAGGTCAGTGCTTGTAAAACTGAGTGGAGAACACTCAGAGGCATTGAAGTTCTTGGAGCATAAAATCATTATTTTTCTGAAGCCACAAAAAAGAACACAGTGTAAGAATTATTACTGTGTGCCGGGTGAAACTGTATGAGACAGAATATCACTCTGAGCTCCTTTTATTCTGTGTCAGCTGCAGAAATACAACCTGCAGGGCTCCACCGTGTCTGCCCATGGTTTTCTATTCCACCCATCGCTGGCTGCATATCAGCAGGGAATGAAAGCTACTCTTTCCATCGATCTGCAGGCAACACCATCCTGCCTTAACACGGATACATACATTTTTAATGAGGTCCTGCTGCAACGCTCCGCTGTGACCGGTCTGCTGGAATACGGTTCTATTTTAGGTTCAAATCAACTGAGTCAAATAAATCTGTAATCATGTTTGTGTGCTTATGTACAAAATAGAAGTCGTATGGAAGAAAACTAAGATAGGATCGTTCTTACAAAACATATCCAAATTCAGGACCAAATGTATATCTATTTATTTTATGCGTTTACCATCTCCATCTATATTCTCTGTAGTGACTGGGTCGTAAACCACAACCTGGTAAGCAGCGTTGATGGAGGCAAGTGACCAAAGCAAAGTATTCACTACATGCTCTGAACACAAAGCTACATGACAGTGGTGGAAGCCAGCAGAACACACAGGAGCAGCGCAAGGCTGACCGATTCTGGCACCTTCTGCACAGCGTCCTGCATAAATGAACAATGAGCAGGCACGAGCAGAAACCCACAGAAACACAAGTGGACTGCATATCGACAGTGTAGACTTTGGCTCTCGCATTACTGCAGAGATGTAGTACATGTGGTGTACATGTAGTACCCTTTAGAGAATGACTTGTGACAATGTGATTAATATATAACTAAAAGACAAGATGACAGCATACTGCTTGGTAAACAAAAAACAAATATTACTTAAAACAGAATAACTTTTGTTTGTCTGACTGCAGCAATAACGTTAACTTATACACAGATGTGTACCTTACATAATACTTACGTGCAGATACCTTTCCCTGAAATTTATTATGCTTCCATTCTTACAGTCTAACAAAATATGATACTCGTATCCCAGACTCGTATCCCAGACGATAAAATTCTACATACATATCACATGATGTCGTACTTCTAAGCTCACTCTGCCACTTTTACATAAACTGGTCTCACAGTCTCGGCTTGACATTTAGTTTTAACCAGTTTATGTTTCTGCTTTTAGTTAAGCTAAAAGCAAGACGAACCACAGTCATCCAGGATGTGCTTCACATGCAGTACCCATGATGACGCAGATAGTTTTACATTATTCGGGTTGTGTTTAGTTTCTTTAACTTTTATCGGCTTCCCATAATAACCATTAATTCTCATTTTAATTGCGACACAGCGGGTACCTTCCCAGTTCCCCGCACACCATATTAATGCAGACTGAACTCTTAACATTTAGGATGCATTCAAAATGAAATCTGGGGTGTAGTTTTTCCCCAGTATTTCTATATTTTAAAATCCCCCACACTAGGGGTGCACTCAAATCCGTTATCGCAATATCATATCGAAAATGCCACGGAAAGTTTGCAATATTAGGTTTATTTTGTGGAGAGATAAGTCCGTTACTGTGTGGCTCAGTTATGTTCGATTTAGTCGAAATCGCTGTATAATAATCATGTCTCATTGTGAGTGAACGGGTCGACTACAGGAGCATACCCCATAGAGCGAACCATATCATGTGCGTGCACACTTCCACATCGTGCGAGTAGAGAGAGAGAAAACAACAACAACAACAACAGCAGCAACGGAGATCGAAGAAGAAACATATCAGAGACAGGGCCCATTCAACTTTTGTGTTTTAAACATAAGAATAGGTACGTGACTGTCTCCACCATCGCAGCTGCCGTCTTGGTTCCAACAGACGTAACTCGGGATTTTCCCTGGCAACTTGCAGTGTTATGAAAATAAATGCTCATGTTGGCTTGATTCTTGATTGATTACACCACCAGAAAAACCATAGATACCTCCTCGTTTCAAATCTCTGTCTTTTTCACGTTGAAATACCGGCATTTTGAGCAAGCCAAAGTTTGTCTGTAACTGTAATAGACATTTAGTTTAGTTGCTAAACTACAAGTGAACGAATTTTCAATGAATTTGAACGACGACCTTGGGAGTTTTATTGCCCGCAAAATCTGCTTCCATTGGCTAACAACGTAAGAAGCAGCCAGCAGAGTGTGCTTTAGCCGTGCCGCAGGGTCACACCTTTTGCTTTGACTTCAGTGGAAAACAGAGGACAAAATAAAGTGACTACTTTTGGCTGTCAAATGACCAGTGTTGTGCGATTATTGAACCTATAAACACGGTCTTGGTATCATTTTAAAGGATATTTCAAGCTCTTTCTATCTGTACAATTTGTTTTAGCATTTAACCATGAAAATTTTGTTCACATACCTAATAAGAATATCGAAATTAATATAGTTATCGTAACATTCATGATCAATATCGTGCAACCCTACCCCACACGCACATACAACAGACAGTACCTTCTTTAAAAAAGCAGCAGCTGTCTCTCTCTTGGTGGAAGGAATTTTCTTCATCCCATCTGGGGATTGAACCCTGATGATCTGAAACAAAAGACAAAAACAACAACATTAAAAGAACAGTCAGCTGTCTGAAGTCAGCTCCATTGTTAGGCACTCACTCAAACAAAAATAACATGGACTTGACACAGCTTCAATATGACTTCCCTACACCTGTCAGTCCTAACTACTCCCCCCTCTTCTCCCCTCTTCACAGTGGTGTCAGTGTCAGGATATTATGACAGCGATGACAGTGCAAAAAAAGTAATGTTAACGTTAGCTTATGAGCCTCCACTTCTCAACAAATTAATTTTATAGTGGGCCATTAACATGCTGACGCTGAACCAGCCAGCGTTTACTAAAGCCGTCGCAGTCAAGTCAACATAAAACCACTTTCTTTTTAATGAATCAACAACATCTTGTCTTCCATTACAATCCACCGAGCATATTCCAGCTAACGTTAATGTTTGGCTAATGAGCCGAGCATGCTAAACGCTGTTTCATTCGTTTTTATTCCTGATTTTGCGCCGGTTATGCGGCTTTCCAGTTGACCGTGGATGCCTTTATTTATTCGGATGTCTCCAGCTAACCAAAGAGCGAAGATTAGCCGGTTAGCTAAACAGGCCTCAGTCACTTTTTTTCGCTAATGACAGCGAGCGTTAGCTACCAAGCTAATTCTGCTGCCTCATCACTCCGGACTTGTGCTAACAGCGAAGCTAACGTTAGCCGAGTCGACCGCCGTTAATACAACCTGCTGTTATACTCACAATGTTATCTGCCATGTTGGACCGGTGAGCGCTTCCGATAGATATCAACGTGTTAGTAGACAGACACACTAGATAGAAAATTCACGTAGCGCTGCTGTCTGTCAACGAAACTCCATCCCGCAACTCAAACACCGGTGTAGCACACATAAATGACCGACCGTGTCCCACCGGTCCCACACTGAAGCGACCCCGGTCGAAACAAGCGTTGTTGTGTTTGTGTTTTTTTTTTTAGTTGAAAACGCACGTTACACTTTTATTTTTTAACTGTACGACAGCTACAATGTAGAACATTAATAAATTCAGGGCAATTTTCTTTAAGATTTTGCATTTTGCATGGTTTTTACCCAGTGAAATCCTTTCTGGTGAAGAAAGAAAGAAGGAAAAAAGATCTTAATGAAGAAACTATAGCTCATTTATTCTGGCATTGTAGGCTACTCACACCAAGAAACTGTGGAAATGTCCTTGTTTCCAAAAGAAAAACACAGTTTTGTCCATTAACACAACAACAGATTCATCCGAAATACAGTGTGGATTTAGTTACATTACGCTTTTATCCAAAGCGACTTACAATTGCTATACATGTCAAAGGTCACACGCCTCTGGAGCAACTAGGGGTTAAGTTTGCAGTCAGGGCCCCGAGGCTCTGGAACAGCCTGCCCGAGGAAATCAGGTCGGCTGAGTCCGTGAACTCTTTTAAGTCCCTTCTTAAAACATACTTTTATAGGAGAGCCTTTCCTGATCTTATTTGACTTTATTTTATCCCTTTTATTTTATTGTATTTTACTAATTTTATATTTATCTGTATTTTAGTCTTTTCAATGTTTTCATGCTTTTATCTTGTATTGTTTTTGTATTATTGTCTCTTGGGTATTATTGTCTTTACACTTGTTAAAGCACTTTGTAACTTGTTTTTGAAAAGTGCTCTACAAATAAAGATTATTATTATTATTATTATTATTAAGTGTCTTGCTCAGGGACACAATGGTGGATGTCTCACAGTGGGAATCAAACCCAGGCCTTTCACACCAAAGGCAAGCATCTATCTATCTATCTATGCGCCATCACCACCCCTTTAGTTATTTTTGTAAATGACTGTTGTTGCAGCAAACGGCTGAGTTGTAATTGAATATCTACAGAGGCATAAAGAGGCCCATTATCAGCAACCACCAGCCCTGTACTACATGTAATGGCATGTTCTAAAATTATAAAACGCTAATTGATCATTAGAAAACCCTTTTGCAAACATGGTAGCACAGCTTAAAAACTGTCGTGTTGGATTAAGAAGCAACAACACTTCTTTAGACTGTGGACGAGGACAAATACATTAGAGGGTGTAGTTTGAGAAACAGACGCCTCAAAGGTCCACGACTGGCAGCGTATTTAAAAAGTACCTGAAAAAACAACAGCCTCAACATCAACAGTGAAGAGGCAACTCCGGGATGTTGTTTATAATTTAACTCTTTCTGAGTATTCTTTGTTTTTCCCTTACTATGTTTATACTCCCCTGGCAAGTTCTACGTTTTGTATCCACATTTTGTCTGTATGTTATATTGAAGCAATAAAGGTTTATAAAACAAACAAACTACAATGTGGAACAGTGGTTCTCAAACTTTTTTATATCAAGGCCACCTTAACTGACACAAATTAGACCACGGACCGCATTTGATAAGATTTTTGCTTTTAGATGTATTATTACATAAAGTGTAAACTAGCCACATATTCTGTCATTGTGTTACTAATGTAAAAACAAAGTTCCCTTTTTTGTTGGGGACCCCCTGGAATCCCCACAAGGACCCCTGGGGGAGATACAGTGCAACAAAGCAGCCACAAACATTAAATAACGTTGTAAAATATTGGCAATTTATGCAGGACCAAGGCTGGATTATCTACTGCGGCTCATAATGAAGCTGCTATTCACAGTCTGCTGTGTGCATTTATTTAGTGGGAACTTGGAGGGACAAGGTACATACACAATGCACATGCTGCGAAATGTTCATATCAGTCACATCTGTATAGTGAACATAACTCTTATTCTTATTTTTCTATTCCCACTATTTCTCAACTATATTTTTATTTTGATCTAATGTGTATTCATCTTATCTGTTATGTTGTATCTACAGCTGCCGTAATAAAGGTGATCTTATCTTATCTTATGTATATATCGTTTTTGTCAGAATATTACAGGTGAGTGCACAACTTTCCCTCCTTACTTTGCATTAACTGGCAGGCCTATTGTTTCACAGTGAAATGCTACCACTAACACTACTTTATTTACTTTAATAATAATGAAGTATCATTTATTTTAGGCCTATGGTAAGGTGTAATGTTTAAAATCTCAAAGATAAATTTCACTTTTCCTAGTAATATATTTTACATTAATGAAATGAGTTGCAATAATTCCAAAATGTTGTAATGTGATTGATGTTTTTTATATAGTTATCTATTTGTATTGTAACCACACTAATATAATGACATGGCTGAGATGATATTATATTATATTATGCAACTTAAATTTTTCTGGCGTTTGCTGTGACACCATAACATATTTAAAATGTGTTTTTCTGGTCGTAAAAGCTGCATTCCAGACCTGCTTTTCCACTCTGCAAATCATTGTTTTTCTCAGAGACTTTTGATTAAATACTGTATAAAAGCACCAATTATAAAACCCAAAATGTTCATAATAATCCAAGAAACAGTTTTGGTGAGAATAAAAAAAATCTCCATTGGTATTTTCCTCTTTTTATGTTTTATTTTTTCCCTCATCCTGTAGAGAGGTCAACGCCCCATTACACATCTCGTCACACCTGTTTGTGTACTGAAACATCCATCCCACTCATCCCTCTGCCATCCCTCAGTGCACGATTGTAAACATAATTTGAAGAAAAGTCCACCAACTCTTCCATCACCGGCTTTATATCACCAGGGAAAAGTTACCAAGTTCTTTGTTATTATCTTGTTGATTAGAAGAATGTTGCTGCTGAAATAATCAGGACTACAGAAACTCCATTACATGTTGAAAAGCTAAATGCACCTAAAGGCGTGCATGCATTGATCTTATGTGTACAACACATTAGTACAAGTTTGACTGAGGAGTTCGATACTTTATAAACTGTCTAAACATGAACAGAATGACATTTCAATGAAGATGAAGAGGAGAATGGAGATTAAAAAATGATGGAATCAAACACATATAAGGGTAATGATGGATGAAAGATGAAGGACAATGAGGAAAAATGTAAAACATTCTAATCTACAAGATAACAACAAAAGAGAGCTAAAAAAAACGAGCTTAAAAACACAAATATAAACACAAAGTTCGTGTGAAAGTATGAGAAATAAACATACATTTTTTTTTCACATATACACGGGAGATTTACAAAGAAGAAATATGAAACTAACGTTAACACAAGCTTACAGGATGATCAGCTAAGATGAGTTGTCAGTGTGGGCAAATGATTCAAACTACTGCCCTGCCAAATCACACACTGGTATGTTGCAAAGATGGAACTATTCCCCACGTGCATCAGACTTTATCATGTTATGAGTGAAGAAAATTTGAGGTTGGTCAAAACAGAGGGAAAAGAGGGATATCTGATGACAGAAAGATTACGCTCAGCAACGGCATGCTGGTGTCCGGTCTCTACAGAACTCAGGTTTTGTATTTTATATGTTCGGCGTTGATGGACAAGCCTCTGAGAGGGCGAAAGAGGCACCGAAGCACGTGAAACGGGAACCCACCCACTTCACGGGTTTGTCACTTAAACTCAACTTGAGGCTGCCTTGCTTGCGTAAGTTTCGTGTTTTGGTTCGTGAGAAGAATAGAAAAGAAGAGGAAAGTAGAAAAGAGCAAAAGGAGAGAAAAGGCTGCTGTTAGTTGAGAGTGACAGTGCAGATCTAGTGAAGATGTGAGAATCAAATAAAAAGATCCTAAACATGAGCAGATGTTGTGTGTGTGAACTGCAGAATCAGAAGAAGAATCCAGAGAAAGATGACAGAAAGGTATTTTTTAGTAGATATTTTTCTCTTTTTCCATTTTTTGTGTTTGTTACGGTTCATTATGGTATTTTGTTTGGAATAGTTCCATTCAAGGTTAGCAGATGGAGCCTGAGGCAGATGGTTTGAAGTGCATGGACATGGCCTGTAATCCCCAGAGGATTTCAGGGAGATGCAGAAAGGCTCAGATGATCCCGTACTGGGCCAGCTCATGCAGCTCCAGGTGATTGAAGGCCTCCCAGGGGCAAATGACAGTGATGTCTGCAAAAAAAAAAGACAGGGATTTCAGGTTGTTCATGGCCCCCCCAGATCATAGAAACTGACATGAAATGCTTTTTTTAAAAACCTAAAGCAAACTCACCTGTGCCTAAGCCCTCCATTCCAGGGATATCGTCACCAAAACTGCAAAGAAAAAACAAATTACACTCCATGACCTGCCATTATTTCTGAACCGCTATACAAAAAAATATGCATTGCTTGAGGCATACCCCTGGATTCCCTTCTTCGGAGGCTTGCTCTTGAACTGACGGGTCTGCCTCTGCTTGAACTTGGGTGGTCCCTTGCGTGGGGTGGCGGGGCCTCCGCTGACACGGGTGGCCGACTTGATCTCAGCTTTGGGCGCCTCAAGATTCATTTTGACCAGTTATGATACCTTTGTGCAGGCTGTGGACTTTAGAGACACCTCTCTGAAACGTGTAGTCGTCGTGATGATGATATCTTTTCATTTTGGGAAGGAGAAAGAAAAAGTCAGATAATTCATGCAAACCTAAAGATGGAAGGAGTAAGCCACTTTCACCTGTTTAGTCTCTCTTAAGATGCTCTGTTTAACCAGTAATTTCATGTAACAGATAACGTGCAGCCTCTGTCACCTCTGTCTGACATTACAGACCTTAATCTTCTTACTGATCTGACAAGCACCAGGCAGGATTTACACATTTCCCAGTGCTTGAAATGTATGAGACAGCGTGTTCTGTGAGGATGACCCAATTTTCCCATAATCCCTGGCTCAAGTTAATAAGTATGCCCCCCCCCACACACACCCCTTTGTGTTTCAAGCTGGCCGTCCACATGTAATCTCGTTAGAGCAAGGACAACACGGCCGATATGCTTAGCATGCACTGAGGGTCTAAATGATCAATCCGCTCAATCCCAGTGACAATGACAGTCCTGAACAAGTCTGAACCATTAATGTGGTTATAGTGGTTTAATAATAATATGAATAATAATAATGTGCATAATTTAGCCATGAAAGCCTTGCATACATTGTTCATGCCAAATATACTGCATATTTAGATATCAAAATATAACTATAAAACTGTTGACACATGTAGTTTTTAAGTGGCTTGTTTATCTAGTCATGTAGGACATCCAGCATTTTCAGTAAGCTTTTTAACTGTTGGTGAGAGATGGTGATGCGGCACTCACTTATTCAATCTTAAATTATCTTTAAAGCTCTAGAATAAAGTATTCTGTGTATCGAAAATAAGTTGCATCGTTGATCTGACAGTGTTTGTAGGGCTAGGTATCGAACATTAATACTTTCTTGGTGCCAGCCGAAAACGTGCGCACTGAAAACTGGTACGTACCAAAAGCTGGCATTGGATTATTTGATCAGACAGTTTTATCCTTGCATTGTTTTTGTACATTTGATTGTACTTGAGTGAGATTTATTATTATTTATATTCATAAATAATATTTTATTATTTTACTACATGTACACTAGTGTCAAAACATTTCAAACAAACCTGACCAAACCATAACTACAGAACATCTACAGCACGACTGATTGATCAATCTTTCATAACTGCACAAAGGAGACCTGACTGATCTAATCAAAAACCTGTGTCCTCTACTTACTACACAATGTATACAATTTTAAAAATTTAAATAACCTCCTGAAACCTTAAGTGTTAAAAAAATAATACCAAAAAGTATTTGTATAATACTGTGATCTATGGCACTAATTAATACATAGTAAGCCTTTTATTTTGAGCAGTATAGTTTGGAGCCTGATCGATTATTTTCACACTTATTTAAACTGACATTATGGTCAGCTAAAATAATTTAAAAAAAAAGTAATATCCATAATGCCCATTGACTTCCATGCAATTCCAGGAGAGCCACATCAATCGTCTTTCACTATAATAAATACCAAGTATCTCAATAACAGCATTGTTTGTGGTCGTGGTAGTGATGTAGCGGAGAGTCTACTCACCGGCTGCTTGGGTGAAGAACAGCCAGACGAGCGGTCTGTCTAGCAGATGAGTGTTCTTTGCTAGGCTTCCTGTGAGGGCCAGTCGAGGCTTTGGGCCCCTCTTATATGCTGAGCCCCGCAGAAGATTATGAACGCACCGCCTCCCTACTCTAATGTCAACAGTACAACAACATGCAAGGGGTTTGGGTCAAAGAGGGTGAGGGTGTGTAGATGTGAAAAAACTCAATTTGGAAGCGTCGTGTTGATGTAATATGTGGTTTGGATTTGCAGAATATGTAAATTTTCAAAGATTTAGTGTAATTTCTGGATGAACATTTGCGATTTGAAAACCATTACAATAGTGTTATTATTTTACATACTTTCTGTGTTTTGACACAGTATTTGTGATGAAACTCAGATAAGGCAAGGTGAGACAGGTGCTGCTGATCACCAACTAAATATATAGGTTCAATCAATCAATAACTGAAACAGAAACAATTGTGTGGGAGGAACACAAATGCATGAGGAACAGCCAAACTCAACTAACAAGGTCAAAGCCTCCGACATGGAAACAAGGCCAAGCGACTCAACTATACACGGAAACACAGGAAATGAGGTGCAGCACGACAGAGAGAGTCATTAAGGATTTATCTTCAACTCAAAGAAGAACAAAGAGTTCTGGGCCATTAATATTTATAGTCTTTGATTGCATTTTTGCTTCACAGCATTTTTTCCACATCTAAAACCTTTGCACAGTACATTATTTCTATATACAGTGTGTACAGTATCTCACAAAAGTGAGTTCACCCCTCATATAATTGTAAATATTTTATTAAATCTTTTCATGTGACAACACTGAAGAAATGACACTTTGCTACAATGTAAAGTAGTGAGTGTACAGCTTGTATAACAGTGTAAATTTGCTGTCCCCTCAAAATAACACATCACACAGCCATTAATGTCTAAACCACTGGCAACAAAAGTGAGTACACCCCTAAGAGAAAATGTCCAGTAATAACAATGTACATTGTAGCAAAGTGTCATTTCTTCAGTGTTGTCACATGAAAAGATGTAATCACATATAAATGTACTCACTTTTGTGAGATATTGTGTGTGTGTGTGTATATATATATATATATATATACAGGCCTATATTGTTCTAATATAGTTGTAATTTTCTGTTATGTTCCATGTGTGTAGCTTGAAGGGACTACACACTTTCATTTCATTGTACAACCCTGTGTTGTATAATAAATGACCTTGGTCTTGTGGTTAATGTAACTGACTTTAACTATAATAACAGTTAGGCAGACAAATAATATCGATTTATCCCAGTTTCTTTCTTTCTGTTTTTTTTTTTTTGTAGTACATGTGCAGTGGGAGGGGCTCATTGTTTGTCATCTCTCCTGGCCACTCCTGTTGACCACTAAGCACCCAGCAGGGAGGCACGAGGACACGTGAATGAGAAATTGCTGCATATGTATAGCACTTTTCTCTCTCACTCACTCATCTCATTCAGCAAGAAGGTCTCTGGTTCGAACCATGGTCGTCCCAGGCCTTTCTGTGTTTGCATGTTCTCCCCGGGTCTGCGTGGGTTTTCTCTGGGTGCTCCGGCTTCCTCCCACTGTCCAAAACATCTCTAATTTGCCCTCAGGTGAATGTGAATGGTTGTTTGTATATGTGATGGGTCCAGTTACCTTCTGCCCAACGTTAGCTGGGATTGGCTCCAGCCCTGAGCAGAGGATAAGCGGTTGACGATGAACGAGTGACAAGTAACCCAGTAACTGAATATTTATGTAGGTTGCCAATGAAAAGAAAAAATCAACCTCAGTAAGGCCAATTGTCATGAAGTAATAGTTATGGACATGTATATCAGCACAAACATTGTTAGTAACTGAGCTGACCAAATGTTTTTGTTTGACTTATGATCAGATGGTGGGAGGTTACTGCACTCAGTCGTGATGTAAAGTGAGAAATTGCAGCAGCGGCATCAGTAATCTGTCTGTTTCCATCACGTCAGTCACTGGGTAAAGTGTTCTGCACACGATCAGTTGAACACCTCATTTGTAATCCGCTGCATAACCCAGATCAAAGAATATGGAGACTGGAGCTGCCCACTGGCACCTGTGTAATCAGGACTTACAGTGCATCGCTATTACCAGTCTACTGCTGACTCAGTCAGGGAGATCAGGGTCATCCTCGCCTCAAAAAGTGGCCCCCGAGAGATTGCGAGATGCACAGGCACCAGGCTGTGTTCGCCTCAGCTGACCGAAAGACGTCATTCTGAACGTGCTCTGCTTCTTCTCTGACATCAGGCTGTTCCTCCTGCTCTGCAAGAAGCCTCCTTCATTCATCAAAAACTCATTTAGATCAATTTAAATAACAAAATGTAGGGGAGACCGGGGGTTGTAACATGGGGAGAGTTGTAACAACACCAATTGTAACAACACCAATTCCACCAAATAGAGATAAGATAGGAGTTAGGTGATCATTTCAATTTTTACCTGCTTCCTCCCTGATCAGGCCTGGTGGTTTTTTGACTAAGACTATTTTTTGTTTAGTATCTATACTATTGCAGGTAGAATTGTTTGACTTATATGAGATTGAAATATAGTTTCTCAGGCAACATGTGATGCATTTTTTCCTTTCTAATTTCAAACCACTATGGTAATACAGCTAGCTAAACATTGGCTGACAGGGGTGGGGTGGGTTGTAACACTTCTTTAAAAAGTGTTACAACCATCCACGATACATAAAACTTGGTACTTTCTTGATTTTAATATTTCCCAGATTGCCCTATGCAGTCTGGGTCCACCAAAGCCTCACTCCAGGGTTACCAGCATTAATTTGTCAGCACTGTGACCTACTACCCCCTCTATTGGGGCAGGTTGTAACAAGGGAACACAATGCATTTTTAACATCAACTCACGAGGTCTGTGATATTCTAGTAGAGGATTGAATTGGTGCCATTTGTAGTGAACAAACTTGGGTATTTTGCATAAAAATTTGAGAACTCTAGCTAAAAAAATTCAGTGAGTTATAGTTACTGAAGAAAAAAAGTGTTACAACCATACCTGGTCTCCCCTACATTTAGAGTCAATATTGAACTTGTTTACATAAATTTACGTATGTTTGTACTATCAGGTTGAAAACAATGAACTCCAAAGGAAACCAATTGTTGAATATGCTGAAACATCTTGTTTACTATATTTATTTTTAACTGTAGTAAAAAAGGCACTGCAACTCCTTCCTGAAAAGGAGCTCAAAGGGCATGTTGGATAAATCCACACGATGATGAAATGAACAAGTTAAGAGGATCAACCGAAATATATCATCCTCATGAGAACAGACACACAGTTTTACGTCTATCTGGCACTCCCTGGTGGCCTTTCCTTACGCTGAAGAGATGCCGAAGAAATCAGCTGACATCTGAGACAGAACATTTATTTAACAAACTCTTCAAAATAAATTTCAAATACACAATTTAAATACTCTCAAATATAATAAAGCAAATGCTCAGTTAACACATTAAATACACTTCAAACTTCAAATGTGCAAATGAGCTTCACGACTAAAGATACACAAATGACTGCATCAAGCAGTACAAAATGAAGAAAATAAAAGCGAATGGATTTTTTTTTACAGTGACCTGAAACCCCAGCAAACAGAATAAACCAACAATTCAGGCATTCCTGAATTCCAGTTTCAACCTACTTTGCCCTGATTTCTCTAACGTTTGGCAGTAATAATCATGTTGCTGCTGTACAAGGTAAGTTGCTGTGATCTGGGAACACCGCACATCACTAGAAATAAGTCTAACAAGTCAAGAAGTTAGTGAAAACACTGTCATACTGCCTGATGTAAACAATCTTAATTGTTTAGAGAGAAACTTTCTGACTTACTGTCCTAATCATCATTTACCTGTGTAATGAGGCATTTTTACAAACATTTCCTGTGTGCTCACTTTCAGTTTTACCTCCAAATAAAGTGTTTTTCATAACCTGGACAACCTGTACGATCCTCCTGTTCCTGTCGGACTTTGTTGAAGAGATGAGCGCGTAATAAAGTGGAACTGTTCTTTAACTGTTTCATCAGTTGGACTCCTTCTGTCCGCAGCTACCTTTACTTCTCACATGCCATACCTGTAAGCTTGTGGCTGTTCTCTGAAATGTTCTGCAGACGTGAGCTGTGTGACCCACAGGAGGAGAAGGTGTAAATGTGAAGGTAAAAATCAGTGCCTCCAGCGTGTTAAAAAAGGGTTTACACTCAGAAAGGTTTTTGTTAAGAAAGCTCATGACTGGCGATGCACAGATCTGATACTGATATCATCCTCATACTGGCTCAAATAGCTGAATTGGGTAACAAAGGGGCAGATCGACTCAATTACGCCCGTATTACGCAATGTGTCAGCAGTGTGCTGGTAGACATGGTATTTTTGGACTCTTCAGAAAGTTATATGCATAAGCAAAAAGTATAAAATGTACAATATAAGTCCTTTGGAAGAAGCTAGCTTGGTATTCTCGGTACGGACATCGTGGCAGAGGTTGTAAAGAGACGTTGTAGAGGAAGAGAAAAAGAGAGAAGGATGAACAAGAGACCGGACCAGAGTAAATATCAGACTGACTTGGACTCGTTGGCGTGAGCAAAAGGAGCTGAGAGGACGCAGGACAGATGCTGAGCTGGCCTTCTTTCTGTTGGACTAGTCAGTAATAACTTATTAGCTGCTCACTTTGTCTTGTGTTGTTGTGCTTGTTTGATGTTTGGCTGTTAGCAAAGTTGTGGATTTGCTAGTTTTTTGATTAATCATAGGAAACGCACATGTACAGTTGAATCCGCAGCAGCACCAAATCTTACATGATGTTGCTTTACACATCGAAGAGTGCCAGTCTCGTCCTCACAGTGAGGAAACAGCTTATTAATTTGCACTGGTATCAGATCTGTACTCAGTAGGGGCGTAAGGAGACACTTGGCTCACAAGATCGAGATGAGACGAGATTTTAACAGATTGTGATCAGGCAGAAATCTCACCACAAATCCACACACACGTCAACTTCAGCAGCTCTGATAAACTGCAGCTCACAGTCCCAAGCAGAGCAAGGTTGTGCCTCAGTTTTTACATGTTTATATCGCAACTATACCAGTTACGTTACCACTCGATCACAACTTTCTGGACTCACAACGTGAGAGCGGGTTCACTTGATTGTTATCATGGCGTACGGCGGTGTCGTGTCAATGGGGCGGAGTTGATTCACCGGGTGAGAAAATTGATGTGTGGTGTGAAAGCAGGAGGAAAATGTAAATTTAATGAGCCCTGTGAGACAGCTTTTAACATGAAATTGTCACGTTTCATCATGTTTGGGAGTGAAAAAGTCGGCTGGGTGCGTCCCTACTCAAAACATATTCCATGTCAACACTGTGGTCGAAGCCGCTGGCAGTTAATACATCAGTCACGTCTTTTTCAAAAGTCTAATCTCCATCTTCAGGTAGGTTTTAAGGTTCTCGTCGAGGACGTTCTCCTCAATAGCGGCGAGCGCCCGGTCGCCTCCGTCGTGGTAGTACGCCAGCAGCTGCTCTGCATGTTCGATCCACACGCAGTTATGACAGCCACTCATGCAGCAGTGGGTGGGAGCAGGCGGCGGACCCTGGTCAGGAGACCAGGTAGAGGTACTGCGGCTGGGGTCTGGGTCAGCGCACTCAGAGGAGTCAGTCCGTGGGGGAGCAGCAGGTGAATCTGGTCCTGCAGAGAGGCAGCGAATGGCGCCGCTGCGTTGACCTCCACTCCACAACTGCACAGGGCAACAACACAACCGATGTCTCAGGTTTAGCAGGGAGAGGGCGCACAGCTGAAAAACAGAAATATATATGTTATATAATCTATCATAATAAAAATGCTTCCCTGTTTATAATCTTCTGTTCTAACCTGGATAAGCAGCGTGTTCTCTGTGCATATGTCAAAAAAGCTTGCATCTAATGTTTTGTCTAAGACAGTGGGGATCTGAGATGAAGGACATCATTTAAATGTGTGAGGCACTGGGACAGAGGCAGATTGGATCTCAGGGACAGGACTGTTCACAAAGCTGTGATATCACTGGACTCTAAAGTAAAAATGCTGTGATTAAAAAAAAATGTATTTTATTTTCCCCACAGCTGTATATTATGGCTCTGTTACATTTAGGTTATTATCATTTGCACCTTTACTGATATAATATGTACCAATCAGTACCATATATCTATTTAGTTCTTTAAATAGATACCAGTATGTGCCTCACTTATAATTAAATATCACTTTAAAGGACTGACACTTGCATTGATGTTTAAATGTCGTAATTATCACTGTAATGTCATTGTCAATTTTATTTCTATAGCACATTTAAAAACAACAACAGTTGACAAAAGTGCTGAACAGGGTCGATGTCAAATACATAAATAGTACAAAAACTAATATAACCAAAGTGAATCACAGGGAAACAAAACAACAACACTTTAAAACATGAGAACATGAGACGTTTGTAGAGTCTGTGCAGCTTTAATATGCATGGGGAGGCTGTTCCATAGAAAGAAACTGTAAAACATGCCTAAACACAGGATCGACTTGGCAGTAAAGGGAAAAGTTAAGCGATTTCTTTAAAATAAAGTTTGACATTTGTGAAACCTTTATTCTTTTTTATGAAAATTCAAAAACAGGGTGATTTCACTGTTTATACACATAAACCAGGTCCAGATCAAAAACGCTTTGCTTAGAGCTGCCAAACCTAGACTAGATTATTTCATTATTACACTTTCAGATTTGTGAAACCTTTTATTGTATTTGTGAAAATAAAAATGTTGATATGTGTTGTTGTTGTTGTTGTTGTTTTCATTAGACCATATAAATCACTCTGTTTATATTTTCACAAATAGAATAAAGGTTTTTCACAAATCTGAAACTATATTTTAAAGAAACTTTAGCCTCTCTGGGACAATCTAGTCCCACAGATTTGACAGCTGTAGGCATAATTACGCGTTTTTGATCTGGACATGACTTTCCCTTAACTTCAGCGTCGTCTTGAACACGTTGGCAGATACAAACTGAGGTTAGAGATATCAAAGAGAGTGTAAACACCTAATGTTAGTGAAGGCTATCTCAAAAACTTCAGAAGCTCTTGTTTTTATGGCATCGAGCTTTGACCCAAAGTTGGCTAAGCTAAAATTCATTTACTGTTTTAGAAAGGAAAGTTACATCTTCCCGCTGTCATAATATATAATTAAACGGTGTGTTTTCTGCATTACCGACAGGTGTAACTAAAGGAAAGTCAACCTGTCAGGTCTGCTGGGGTTGGGAATAACTGATGCTAGTTTAGCTTCTCTAAACTTACAGTTAGCTTCGCCCTTCTGTTAAGTTAGCTTAGTTTACCAACCTTTCGTAAAGACATTGACGACCTCGCAGCATTTCCACCCAAACACAGCATCTTCGGGGAATATAAGAAGCTTGGTCATGTGCCTATATAATTCATTTTCTTTTAAATGTCACACAGTTCCTCGTCCTCGGTGTTTTAACCACGGGTTTACCTGCCTTTCAAGCTACTTCCGTACCTCAATCTTTCCGCAACTATGACCTCTGTGTGTAGTTGGAAACAAAAACGCTGATTGGCCCACAGAAAATAATCTGACCAATGAAATGACACCATTCTAAAATGTAAACCAATGGAAAGAGTCGTTTCTGGGCGGTTTACAAAATGCGAGTTGCAGTTTCAATATCTTTCCACCAGGTGTCGGCATTTCATCTGAATGTCTCATGTAAAGACGCGATTGAAGGGTAGTAACCTAAATACAGTATATATACAGTACATATATGCATATTACGTATAATTTAATAAAGAAAATATTATTTCACCGTGAGTTTTTGTCAGGATAAAAAAAACTCACTGAAACTGTTAAAATTTTATGTTTATTGTGTATTATTGGCACTTAACAGGCCGAGCTGGTTTCACTGAACTGTTGCAGTCTCTATTTAGCTGCGCTATGATGAGGGCCTTTTTGTTGTGTGATAATAATTTCCTTTAAAATCTTTTTTCTCTTTGTTGAAAGGCCTTTTTTATCCTCACACTTATCACTTCTTCCTCTGGATCACCGTTAAATCCATTAAAACAAAAGCAGCAGTAAAGAGAAGCTTCTCTATTTAATGTCACTTGTCATTTGTTATGTCTGGGCTTTTGATGCCGTGAATCGAGTCAAGATCAGAAGTACTGTAGAGGACCTAGGCGTGGACCTAGTCACATGATTTTGGACTCTAGTCACACTCACGTCATGAATCTGAAGACTTGACAAAATCCAAAAAGGCTTGCAACTTGACTTTGACTTGAACACCAATGACTCGTGACAACTACTCAGGCCTTATCAATTAGAATAACTTCATAACCTCTCCGAGCCCAAAGTGATATTATAAAAAAAGTGGTTGTGGTGAACAACATCAACATTCAGCTTAGAAATAACAAATGACTGAACAGTAACTGTGTCTCAGGAATAACACACCAAGACACAACCGTTGAGTTTGGTTTTAATATATTAAAGATTATTATTTAAAAACACATTTAAACAATACAGTCATCATTCCTGCCCTGCATTCAAATCTCCTTCTCTAAATGTTACTCTGTGTCATTCAATTTAATGAAGGACTTATTTAAACACAAAGTTTGGGACTTGTTGGACTTGACTCAGGACTTCATGGCAAAACTTGAGACTTACTTGTGATTTACAAAACAATAGCTATTTCCCACCTAAAGGAAACTGATTTGTTTCCCGCACGCCTGTATTGAAGCTGAATGACATAACGTAAGCAGAAACCATTATTAAAGGCTCCAAGAATGTTTTCTCCTCCAGGTACTTTCAGTGAACTCTATTTTGAGAAGGTACTGAAAGAGCATTACAGCCACAGTGAAGCAGATTTGCTGGGTGGAACGGCTCCTTTATGCTCGTGAGTGAAAGTAAACCCTCTTTTGATGTAGCCTTTCTTTGTGCGAACGTGTTTCTACATTTCCGTAACATACCCGGCTAATTTCTCAACCGTTTAACCCATTCACTGACATTCACTGAGATGTGTGTGTGTTTTGTATATGGAAGAGAAGCAGTGTGTGAGTCTTGGGTCCCCACAGACCTCACTATGTTTGCAAGCCACATCCATGGCAACGTGGTGTGGAAACACAGCAGCTGCTCCGTCTGGCATGAGATACCAGGTGTGTGGTGGGGCATGCTATCTCACCAGAGACCCACAATGTGACTTTATCCCAAGGAGAGGTTCTCCCACTGTCTTTTATTCAAACACATAAAGCCAACCAGACTTAAAAGGCTGCTAATATTATTCTGAAAGAATAGGTGGAAAGCAAACAACCTCTGAAGAGTAACAAATAGATTATAGGAGGCGGGTGTGTACACAGACAGATGAATGAACACATACATTAGTTTTAACAGCCACAGTGATTCAGTTTTAGTGTTGCGATAATGGGTTTTTATCATTATCACAATAGATTCCATTCCTCAGAGTTTTTTTGTTATCATGAGGCGTGCCTGATGGTTCATATTTCACCATAAATGGAGTGACATCATGAGGTGGATGTAACAAAAATGTATGGGTGGATCAAACCTGAGCTATCTATCCACAATACCTCAGACAGATTTGTGTAAAACCATTTAAATTAACTGAAAAAAATGAACGATTATTCTCTGTAGGTTGAGCCTAGGTGACCTCTTTCACATTGCAAATAGTCATATGATCCATTTTTATGTATATGTATGTAAATATTGATATGTGGAGTTTTTAAGAAATATTTTCCATGCAGAACTTGAGTATTTTCACACACTTATACATATTGTAAGTAAAGGATCTGAATAGTCCTCTACCACTGACTGCGTGTAGTCTGTGCGCCCCCTCACCCCCTCTTTGCTTTACGAACTACTTTTGTTTAACTCCTGGACTCCTGTGGGATCATGATCATGACATTTGATCCCATGGACACTTAACAATGGAGCCAAGATCCCTAACATTGTCGTTTGACAAATAACATCTCTTAGACTACAACAAATACAGAAGAGTCTGTCCTAAGGCATCTATTAGTTTCTGACTCTGAGAAAATTCTCCCAAACTACTGTATCTCTGAACTCTCTTCAACCAAATCACACACATTTAGGCTCTCCTTTCGATAACTAATGTAATAACTAATTAAACTAAGTAATAGTTTTCACATCCATTCACTGAGCCTCCCCTGAAACAGTGTGTAGGCCCCCTGGGGAGACCTACCTCCCACAAATCCTCTTGGGTATATACACACTGAGGTACATTACCACACTAACACAACAACAATCAACAATGTGGCATAAATTATTTTTCATATTGTATCAAAAAGACGCTGCATTCATTTCTGACGAGATTTAATGTAGGTCACAGCACAGAGAATCTCTTAAGTATGTCGGGTATGTGAGGAGGCTGTGGGGTCCGTTTTCTCACAACACTGCCACAAACAGTCCCCCTCACAGCCGCTCCGCTGGATTAGGTTTCTCTCAACACCTTTTCCTTTGGAAATCCTGGAGCCCTGCTTTACCTCTGGCAGACGTTTCCTGAGGGGCCCCTTTGCTTGCAGACTGGGGGAAAGATAGACCAAGGCAGGCACATGAAAGATACTTAAAGAAAAGAAACTCAAGTGGGGGCAGACTGTTCTTGATACAGTTTGATGCTTTGGAAACATTTCACAGGACCCAGCGGTTCATAAAATATGGTCTGGGGACTCCCATGGGTTCCAAGGGAATTCCTGGAGGTCTTGGAAAGATAAGTTCAACAAATCAACATAATTCTACGATTATCATTATTAATATTGTTTGCATAAAGATGCTAATAACAGTTGTGTAGCAGTTGCATTAAGTCATAAATAAAGTTAAATTCCCTTTTTTACTGCTCTAAAATCGGACACTTTTGCTTTAGGTGGGATTGTTTTTTAAAACACAGCTCGGTTCACTGTTAAATGTCACAACATTAACTGCAAGAGAGTCATTTTTTGCCAAGCTGGAAAGGTTTGGCTCCAGGAAATCCATCACTTTAGTCCAGACTGAAATCTCAACAGAGACTGGATGGATAAATTAGAAGGCAGCCCAGCCACTCAAATATATCAGAAAAACAAAGTTAAAAAGCCTTTTTATAGGGCTAAGTTTCGACCACTGCAGGTCGTCTTCAGGGCTTTTTCTTACATTTATTTGCCTCACAGGTTGTCGTCGTTTCCCCAGAGAAGGTTAAAGTCAAGGGCAGCTGGACTTGATTGAAGATAAGACATTTTGTCCCTCATCCGAGAGGCTTCTTCAGTTCTGACTGGTTGTCCTTGACCTTTACCGTCTTTAGATAACCATGACCTGGATGACCTTTTCCCAGAGTCCCTGACACATTTTTTTTTAAATCTACAGAGCAGCCAGTCATATTTTTGCCATGAAATTTGATGGAGCTCTTTATGGTGCCTAGACAACAAAACCTACTGACGTTGGTGACATCTCATCCAGCCACGAGGGTGACATTTGTGGTTCAGAATGAAATTCTCCAGCGTCACCATCAGGTCAAAGTTTTAATTTATCCAGTACTTTGGTTTCTGACCAAATACCTGCAAAACATTCACACATACCCACCAGCCTCAGCTCTTTGTTGTGTTTACTGCCAAGTAGCAAATATTAACATGCTAATACGCTAAACTAAGATGGTGAACATGGTAAAAATGGAACTGCTAACCATCACCGTGTCAGTATTGTCATTGTCAACATGTTGATGTTAACATTTTGTTCTCTCACAGAGCTGCTAGCATGGCAAGAAAAAACGTCAGAGGAAAAACAAACCTTCATAGAAGAAGAATAATGCAGAAATGCTCATAAACTACACACAGCTCTGGCTGCAGGTGTTCTGCTTGAGAGGGATTAGCTTCATCGCTATTAATCCTGGTGAAACCCCACGTGCACAAAAAGGTCTGGCAGTATTTCAACAACTTGTTGGATATTCTACAACACTGCACTGTCCCACTACGTGTGGGAACGTTTAACCAAGAATGCAACCAAAACAAAGATAAGAAAAAAGGGAATTTTAGAAATGCATCACTGTAAAATAACGGTGGCATGTAGTGAATGACCTCAAACCTGAGGGAAAGGTTAGCACTAGATGTTTGGGTTATCTGGGCTCATGTCATGCACCTCTGATACAGTAGTGGTCCCTGTGAAGAATAATTTTCTAGCTGCAGCTGTGTCAATAGTCTGGGCAAACAGCTTCCCTCAAGTCCTTCAAAACAGGAAAAAGTGGCAGCAAGGTTTTTCTGTTTCACTGCCCCCACTGTATGTGCTGAAATGCACTCACAATGATGTCTCTGATAAGAAAGCATCTTTTCCATTTGTGGATGAGCAAGGATAAACTCAAAATCTGACAAAAACGTAGCAGGGAGGTGTTTTGGTGCTCAGGTGTCCTTCCTCAAGGTCCTCCCGGCTGACTCACAGCACCAGCTTTGTCCTGAGCGCACAAAGACCACACTGTTCACATCCCCGGAGTTGGCGGCAGCCGTGCCGCTGCCCCAAAATGACAAGTCA